CCTGAACCCCTGAACCCCTGAACCCGAAGCACTAAACCCTAAACCCTCAACCCTAAACCCTAAACCCTAAACCGGAAGGATGCCCACCAGCTCCTCCGGGCTTCACGCAGGAGATCCTTCGCGGGTTCCGCAAGCCGTACCCAGGGCGCCTAAGGCCTTTCGTCGATGAATAAACGAACAGATGCAAGCGCATCAGTCGAATGTATGAGTGTGTATATAAGTATATACCCACCTGAGCAAGGAGATATGTCTATGCATGTATATACATATGGGTGGTTGTCAAAATTATGGTCCCTTTTTGGGTCCTTATTATAATACGGCACCTATTATTTAGGGTAGCCAAAAAGGGACCCTAATTTTGACAACTACCCATATGTACACATAGATAGGTACCAGTAGTTGCTTTATGCTGTTGGGTAGAGGAGCTTCTTAAGCATATGTTTTTAAGACGGAGACCCGCCGCGCGCTGCTAGCCCTGTAGCTTCACTTCTGAATATCGTTTAGGGCTTAGGGTTCAGGGTTTAGGGCTTAGGGGCTCAGGGTTTAGGGCTTAGGGTTCAGGGTTTAGGGCTTAGGGGCTTTTGGTTTAGGGCTTAGGGTTTAGGGTTTAGCGCATAGTGCCAGGAGCAGTGCGCGCGAATCATTGCACTGCAGCAGCAGTATCAAGCCGCAGGCGTGATGCCACAAAGCTTGATGCTAAAGCTGAACTTGGATTTGTGGTTGACTTCCATATTCACGCTTCGAAGAACTGAGGGAGCTCCTGCTTATCGATCCTTCCATGAGACCTTCAACACCGATACCTGAACCCAAAACCTAAAACGGAACCTAAACCTAACCTCCATCGCCTAGACGTCGCCAATCTCGGACAGTGGAAGCCCTAAACCCCCGAGCTGTGTGGCTAAGAACCTCTCGGTGGTATGGGTGGGGCTTAGGGCCAAACGTGGGTTTAGGGCCTACAGGCCTCAGAACATGTTCTTCCTGCAACTTGCACGCCTGCATGCTGAAGCTTCAACGTTGGTACAAAATAATGCTTTATCCCTAAAGCTCCAAAGAATTTTTGGAGTGTATAGTACGTGGGTTGGGATCCATTTTCGTGAAGAGTTGCTTGATGAGTTTTACGAGCACCCCCTACCCATCAACTCCTTCCACAGAGGTCGGTGTGGTTAGTAAGAATATCTCCTTATAGCCCTTATACACTTGGAGTTGACTATACACCACCAACCAAACTGCATTGATAAGGGCTTCCGCCATGTTTCACGCCTGAGTGGCTTTTGAAGTCCGACAACGCAAACTGCCATAGCCCTTACGATAGCCAGAAGCCTAAGCGTAGGAGCCTCTGCGTTGCCCGAGTCGCGAGAGTCCAAATGTAGGAGCCTGATTAGGCAACCCTGGCCCTCTAACCCCAAAACACCAGGTTGCATATAAAGAACCCCCAATAAGGACCCAAGGTTTCGTAGTCAGAAAACCCTAAACCCTAAACCCCTAAACCCTAAACCCTAGACCTCGGTTACACCGGAGCCATGCAGGCGATCACGAGAGTGCGGCCCTGGTCGCACACTATGCAGCTGCTGGTGTTGACTTGAGTGCGTACCTCGAGGCAGCTTAGGGTTTAGGGTTTAGGGTTTAGGAGTTCAGAGCCCTTCACGGATGTCCAAATCCCTGAATTATACGCTCTACAGGTCTCGAGATATCTCTACATAAATTTTAGTATGACTTACTGTATATTCCTTGATGGATTGCTGTTGCAGTCTCCGCTGAGAAAGGTTCCAATCTGTGCCGTTGACTCGTGACTAGCGCAGGGCTTCTCAGATGGGACCTGGGTTTATGGGCCCATGTGGGAGTTTCCGAAAAGAAGGGTACCTTATTTTGGGGTCCTCATAATAAGGATCCTAGTATTTAGGGTACTATATTAGGGTCCCCTATTTTCGGAAACCCCGATGTCGGAGGCAGCCTCTGCGTCATATACACAGCCGCTGGTCCACGACCCGGCCAGGCAGGAGCCTGGTTGGGCCTTACCGGATTTAGGGTTTAGGGTTTAGCTAGGGCTTGGGTTAAGGGTTTGGGGGTATAGAACCTTACAGCTTAGTGCATTGCAACCCTGCTCAAAAAAGGGTCTTACAAAATATTTCGGAATTGCGGAGGGTTTGGGTCCAATAGCTTTTGTGAGATTCAAGTCTCATGGTCATGGTTGGGGCAGGCCCGGGCTGGTTGGCATTGGGCTGGGAGCCGAAGCACGGCTTGTGCCAGGAAACAAAGGAACCCATGATATATATATATATATATATATTTGTATATATATATATAATATATATTAGGATTCTTGTTATATCTTATATACAAAATTATAAAAGGTGCAGCACCAAGAGCAGGCTGCTCTCTGCAAGTTTCAAACTGCAGAAGACAGACCAAACCAAAACCTGCAGTCGAGCGTCTGGCTCTGCAGAAGCCTCGACATGAACTCGCGAGACTGCCCTACAGCATCATGGAGGGACCAGCGAACCCTAAACCCTAAACTCGAAACCCTCATGGTGGCACCCTTTATGTTGGGCTGGGCATCTAAGATTGTCTTGCAACCGTGGGTTTTCGGGGTGCGGGGTTTAGCGTCTCAGGTCTTATGGGGCTTAGTGCGTGTCTGGAGCTTCCAGGTACGGCTTTTGTTCGACAGTTTCGGCTTTAGCGATAAGAAGTAGTGGTGGTGTGATAGGAATACACTATAGGGTGACCCTGATGTCATGTGTGGACAGGGCCTCCGTTTTTCAACGCAAGATTTTGACTCCTTTAGGGTTTCAGATTGGAGGTTCGTTGTAGACACGGCTCTTTGACTTGAATCACCTCTCACTCGGACAACATGAGACAGGATTGTGCTCCTGACGACCTGCCGACACGTCCCACTTTGGTTCTCCGCTCGCCTCGAAGTTGCACGAATCCCTGAATGCAAACAAAAGCAGAATAACAGAACTCTTGGCACTCAACCCCCCCCCCCCCCCCCCCGCCACAATCCTAGAGCCCGAAAGCCCTGCATTCAAACTCTGGACCATTGAACCTAGGAAACCGGCCCTATAAGCAGTAAAGACGACGGGGAGAGGCCGGGTCAGTCTTGATAGGGTTTAGGGTTTAGG